TTATTATTATTATTATTATTATTATTATTATTAATCATTATTAATCATTATCATCAGCATTAAATGGATGAAAAGGTTGTGCTCTGGTTGTAGTTTGTCAGCAGCAGATAGTTTGCTGGTCCACACTTTAGTCGATCCTGGAGCAAGTTTCTTTGACCAGACATTCAAAGCAGGCTCTTTCAGCTGAATACTTAAGGGTTCCAAAAAAGGAAGCAATCACTTCGAATTTGGCGCCTGACATAAAAATAACACCTTTTTTGCATAAAAATGCCCCATTTTATTTTCTCTTGGTTTTTATAACCAAATTATTACTAAATTCGTTGTGTTTCGATGGTGCTTCCTAGAAAGCTTAGCATTTTTTAGCATATTTCCCCTCCTCTTTGAGGTTTCGGCATCCGAAGTGATGGGAAGTAGCATTGTCTATCCACTGAACTGCACAGATGACTAGTGTTTATTTGCAGAGCTCGAAGCGATCCAACAATTTACATGAACCTGTATCAGCAGCAGCAACGTCTGCAGAACTTCAATATCCAGGATTTGACTGGGTCCACGCACCCAAGTCAGGTACCATTGCAAGCAGCACCGCTGCCACCATTTAATGCAAATGCCGACTTCTTCAATGATATGCAGCAGAGGGTGGCCACTGAAGACAACGGTGTCACGGTGGGCTCGCTGCCAAATATACCGGGACCTGCCACCGCGATGCCCCCCTGCTCCTACCACCACCAGACAATTGCACAGCGACACAGCATGGGTGTATGCCAAACCCTAGCCACGCCGCCTTCATTGTCGGAGACGCAATCGGCGCCGACAAGTCCCGCACAGAGTGTCGAACTGCAGGCGCCAACTTCGTGGCCACAACGAAATTACTCGAACAGTCCCGAACCGCGGGAAATTCCGAACATTGTGTTGACGGGTACAGACGGACAACTGGACTGCTTCCAGGATTTACAAGACCTACATTTGGACGCCAACGAGCTGCAGCAATTGTTAAATAGTGGTGAGCATGTTGATCCTGCATGTGAAACGCAACTTCTTGAATAATTATTGTTTTTTTACTTTTCTGTTGTCTTGAAATATAGTGATCTCTTACACAACGTCTTAGCCAACGACATTTTTTGGAATTTTTGCGCGAAAATCTCTTTCTTAGCCACTGGCTTTTTTTTTGAACTTTTTCAGCCATTCCTAGGAATAAAATTTCTACGAAGCGCTTATAGCACGTGTGCGTTTGGCTGCTGCTCTACCGAAAAACAAGTTTTTTTTTT